CGATGGCAACACGCGCACAGGCCTGCCTCGGGTATGCAGGTTGTTGATGTCCCTCTCAGCACAAATCACTGCGTTACTGTCCTCGCCTGTCTCGTCGGCCTTCTGGGAGTTCCTCCTCAATCATCTCTAGGTTCAACATCACTGCTCGTTCATTTTGGAAGCACAATAGAACCGCTCCGGTCCACTTTAGACACACACACACAAAGATTTAGAGCTGACAGTCAACATTGTCCCAGATTCCATGCGCACACGAGCACAGCTGGTCATAACACATCAAAAGCAAACCTGTGACACGGTTGAGTCCAACCTTTATCGTCAAATAATGCTGATTTGTAATCAAACGTCAATCCAGCAGGGGGCAGCAGAACAGAGCAAACGCCAATATCACCAGCCAGTAAAGTTTATAAATGTACTTACGTTTGGAGACGTTGTCGCATGAAACAGGAAAGGACCCCTACCCCCAAGCTGAGGCTGACATTACACTCTAACGTTTTAATGGAATGGCATGAAGATGGTGTTTGTACAGAACTTTGACATACAACTCAGTTGGCATTTAGACAAAATGTTAAATATAAACATGGCAATAAAGGAACCATATGAAATGGTTTCTAAAATAATAGATGACAAGAATAAATCTATTTAGCATGTAAGACAAAATAAAGAGAAGAAGGAAAATTGAAGTGTAGCTACAGTGAAATGCGTGGTAGCAATGAAATATTATTTGAATTATCAGTTTTAGCGAGGAGTCTGGATCCCAAATTCTTTACCACTTTCCTCCCAGACAAATGAATCAAAGTAAAAAGATTAACAGATCCTCCATCACTCTCTCACACTCTCCACCCTGAGTCATTGTCTCTTTCTCCATTGACAAACCCTCAGGAGACATTTGTCACTGTTATCTTGTTTGTAAACCCTCTTCGTCCTCCTCTCCTCCTCTCCTGCTCTCCTGCTCTCCAGCTTTTTAAGTGAATCCACAGGAGAGAATTCCAGCGGGCCGCAGAAGGACGAGGTGATGTCAGAGGTCAAAGGTCAGGGGATGACCTCTGCCCTGCGGGTAGAACCCTACTGTGTGGCGTACCTGGATGTGAGTGCGCTGGTGTGCATTAAGCAGAAAAAAGTCATAGTTGTTATATGTTTATGCATAACTAAACATTCCACTGCAGTTATCAAGTCCATTCTTGACAACGTTTTTTTGCCTTTATGTTACTTATTGGTTTGATGAAATGTTCATTTGGTAGTCTTACCTACTAGTCTTTTCTGAGTTGGATTCCTTTACAGAAAATATCAGTTTTAGAAGAAAGCCACTGTATTTGGTTGTGTAAACAACAAGCAGTTGATCCATCTTACAAGGCACGGCATGACAAAATGGATGCTAAAATTAGAGGATAGTGTGGTGTTGTTTTGAAATCGATTTCATCTCATAAGCCGATAATACTTTGCAGAGGGTACCAATTGTAAAAAAAAAAAAAAAATGTCGCTGCCGGGAAACTCTTCCCAAATCCCAGACTCTCTCTGCAACTCCCAGAGGCTCTGTGTTAGCAGAAACACACACACACACACACACACAAAGCAGGGGGGTGAACTTTGAAAGAAGGAAAGTAGTGGGGGGTGCGGGCTGGGGGGGGGTAAAAGAGGAGCAGATGTTCATCAGGTCTGCAGATCCCTCCTCCCCTCTCCCTAATATTTCAATGGCAATAGTAGCCTCTTATCTGAAGAAGCCTGCCAGAGCAGAGCTGTAGAGGAATGACTTCACTTAATCACGTGGCTTTCAAAAGGCTGAGTGTGCAAGTGTGTGTCTTTCTCTCCAACACACACAAAACAAATGGCGTAACAATACAATTGTTTCACAAGTTGTCTGCAGATTCACACACACACACACACACACAAACAGCTGTGATTATGGATTAGCAGGCTCGGCCTACTTAACCCCCCCTGTTTCTTTCTTACTTCCCCAAACTAGCTCTCAGACATCTTTGTGTTTCTTTCTGTCAGGCAAAACACACTGCAATGTATTTATATCAGAACTTCGCGCACATATTCCATCCATTGCTTTATTGTTTCAGCCAATTTCTTCAAAAGGGTTCTTAGGTGTCAAACGGCGGCACCCTGCAGTCAGCTGTTTTATAGGATAACCTTAAGGAGCAATGTCATCTCTGTAAATCTCTTCTAATATCAAGCACATGTTGAATGAGAAAATGCTTTCCCGGTGATTATTTTACAGTTATGTGACACGGTGGGATCCAGTATTAACCAAACCAGCTTTCCTTTGCAATCCCTTCCTCTAACTTTCACTTTTTCTCCAAATCCAATCCTCCTCTACTCCTCACCCCCATCTCTTTTTCTTCTTACAAGCCCTTCTATCCACCCATTCACAGTGTGTGTGTGTGTGTGTGTGTGTGTGTGTGTGTGTGTGTGTGTGTGTGTGTGTGTGTGTGTGTGTGTGTGTGTGCGGGGGGCAGCGCCGCAGAGGGCGGCCTGTTAGTTTGTTAGTCGGTCCTGCAGCTCATTGAGCTCATTGTGCTCCAAAGGCCCTCCAGCCCAGCTGGACTCAACAAGAAGCAAGAACTTTCTTTCAAATCTCTCTCCTCTTTACTCCTCCCGCCTCCCCTCCCCCCTTTCCCCCAGAAATCCCCCTTTCTCTCTGTACTCCCACTAATCCCCAACTCACCCAAAAGGGATTTGTTCAGAGAGGTAAACTGTACTTGCCAAACAGCTTATTTATAGATAAAAATGTGTTGACTTAAGCAAATTAATAGAAGAGCCGGTTTACCTCAAGGCCCTTGTGTTGTTGACATCTTGTTAATGGCTTGTTGCCCACAGTGGTGGTCTTCATCTCAGGTTAAAAAACAGACGCGCAGAGGCATGACTTAATAAGGGCGCCGTCTCTCGGCTGGAGCAGCACCCGAGGGCCAGTCGAGATATAATTAGGCCTTCATCTCACTTGGCGTTAGTTGCATTTTGGCTGAAAGTACGCCGCCTCATGAACAGGACGAAGCACGGCCGTCTCGTCTCAGCGTCACGGTGGCCTGGTGGTTAAGATAGAGCTCATAGTCTGATTCCCAGACGGGGTCCTTTATCTTCTCTCTCTGACCTTGTTTCTTGTCCCTTCGCTAATGAACTCTTTTTAGGCAAAAATACTTGATGCATGTTTCTGCACAGTGGGGTTGGGAGTACAAAATGCACTCCTCACTGAAGGTTTTGGTGGCCATATTTTACAACAAAAGCCCCCCAAATTCACCGCTTTTAACAATGCAGGACAAAACGTAAATTATTTTTATTGTTACCACACAGCACGTAGGTCTTGGCCTCGATGCAGAAATGTCCATTTTTTCTGTTTAGATGTGGGTTTATAAAATACAATAATAAAAAGCCAATCACATGCCACTCAAGACAAATGTCAGCTTCTACAGGCTGTCTTAATTGGATCTCCACATGAAACTAATGCGTCTTGACTTTACTGCCTCTAAACTCTACATTACGGAGCTGTTGTGCTACTTTTGGATATAGCCTTTGAGGCCATTTTGATATGAACTTTTGACAGGACAGAACAGAGGAAAGACGAGCAAAGAAGACCCGGAACGGTTTGTTACCATGGCAGCAAGTCGGCTGGACACCAAGATACTTCTTTACTTTAACTCCAGATGTGTGAGGAAGGACACCAAGTCACCTTCACCAATCCCGCAAGTCAAAACACAGCTGGCTGAGGGAACCTTCAGGCCGAATGGGGGAGACCTACAGGCCCTCCATTACATCATCATAGCTCTGGGGGGGAGGGGGGTGTCAACACCATCCGTTAAACACACAAAAGCATGTATACAAACACGCACATTTAATGGTGACCACTTGTTTGGACCCAAACAAAGCTTTTCGGCAGCCTTTGTGCACGGCTGAACTTATCTTTCTGAAAGGGGTTTGTCAGGACTTTTGTACTTTGGGCATTTCTATTCATCTTTGATTAATGTACCACACCCTTTTTGACCAATTTCTGATATTTGTTTTCTTCTCTTCTACTCTAACAAGGGCTTGCATAAGAATATATCCCACCATAAAGTGAACACTGTCATATCTAATAAAGATGGTGTTTTTATTCTAACCGCACATGCGTGCACTCCCAGTTGAAGTCCTCAAGCCCTCAAGTTTGCCTTTAAGGAAACAACAATTGTAGTTTGTTTCCCCCTTTGCAAACGTGTGTGTGTGTGTGTGTGAGTGTGTGTGTGCAAGTCTTTCAGGACTAGTCGAATATTCCCAATGCCTCTGGTCTGCAGTGGCATTTTTCACACTTTTCCCTTTGAAATCAAACACTTCTGACCCCCCTCTGTGTCTCAAAGGGCTCAGCTCTCTCCATATGGCCTGTTCTACCCATGTGTTACTCCGGTTTAGTTCTGTTTTTGTCCTTGTGGCTATCTTTTCTTGTTGGAGTTTATCTTCTTTTCTATTTCTCGAGCCCCCCCCCCCTTTTTTGGGGTTACAACTTTTCTCTAGTCCTTTAGAGCCACTACCGGTGTGCCCTCTCTGTCCCCACTGACTAAAACCACACATCTTAAATGCTTTAACATAATTACAACATAACCTCGAATACAAACTATTTATGTGTACACATATGGGAGGAACTCAAAACAGAAAATATTAAACAACAGTTTCCGAGCGGTGCCGTCGTGGACTGTTGTGTCTGACTGACGGGGGGAGTAGGCGGGGCTTACAGCAATGTTAGGTTTTAAATCCCCACGTGGTCTGAGTCTTGGGCTCGTTCAGCACCGCACACTCAACCAGAAACTTCCAACAAACTCATGCCAAGCGGATCGCCCACGTCTATCACCGCGGGTTGGGGGGGCCGACGACGAGATTGGACGGACAAAAAAAAAACTTCTGACAACTCTGAGAAATGCCATCTTTCCCCCTCGACCAGTTCACGGACTTGGAAGAGATGATGTGCAAGGTAAAAAAAAGCGAAGCGTAAAGAAAAGTTGAGCGGAGGAAAAGTTGGCTAGGTCACGGGGTGTTAACGTTAGCTTAGCTGCCTCCGCGGCTAACTGCAGGCTGTTGGTTCGCTCTCTTCCGTCTTTCGAACGTGTGGTTTAGCGGAAGTCGTTGTTGTTCTTTAACTTTATTGCGAATCGGTGGCATGACGTTTTCTTTTTCTTTTTTTGTGTTCAGAAAGTGAACTTTCCCCGGACTAGACGCTAACTTGTCACGTCGCGGAGGCGTCGTTGAAAACTCGTTGTAGCGACTCGTCGTCGCAACATGGGCCCGTTAAACCGTTCGCCAACCGACGATTTTTTTAAATGCAAGTCACACCACAGAGCCCAGGGGACCCGGTTAACGCTAACGTTAGTTTTCACCGCCGTTGGTGCAACCTGCGTGGAGCATTAACGGCGACATGTGACGTCAGAGCAACCGTTAAACAACCTCGCGGCGACTTTCCGCTCCCGACGACGAGTAAAGTAAAGCTAAAAGTTGTCATTAAACGCCGCTCGAGTCTCTGGCTGCTAGTAAGTAGAAAAGCAAGCCGCGGTACGAACTACTGACGTTGTGTTTTACGTTTGACTGTGACTCTTACTTCGTAGCAACGCCACTAACGTTAGTTGCATCCTGTCCGGGCTTGTTTTCATCACGAGAAAATATGTAAGATCGTGTACGAGGCCAAAGTTCACCCCCCCTCGTCTTTCTACACGCTAGTGTGGATAAGTTAAAGGAAGGAAAGAGCGTGGCTAGATTTTATCATGTTTTTTGTGGATATTGTCATGTTTGAAAGGGACTTCCTGTTAGCCACTAATCACATTAACTGTGTTTCACCATTTTGTAGTGACCACACCACAAACAACAGGTCTCGGTCATCCACGTCTGCTTGTGTAGCACGTCGGCCTCTTGGAGGAAATTCGTTTTAGACAAAGTTATGTCAAACCGATTTAGATGCAATCCTGTGACAAAGTCACCGACTTTCTAGTATCTGTATTGCGTGGCAATAAAGGGATTTCAGGAGTTTGTAAACAAGTTTGATTTCATGCATAACTTGTATGCCAATGTTGATGACCATCATTCAATACAGTTATCACGGTAGATGCATTTATTTAGTTGGACATTTAAAAATCTCAGTAATATGCAAACAACGTTGAGAAGATTAGGGATGGGGTGAAAAGATTGGTTGTGCATTTGAATCCTGCAATATCTTTTAACTTGATACATTTTTTAAAAATGGAGAGTTGAGTAAATTTAGGGGAGAAAAAATTGAACTCCCGTAGTGTTCAACATGGAAACTACTACAATCCTAAAAGTTTAATCCGGATCACAGCAAATGTTCCTTAATTTTTCCGTAGTTCTTAAGGGAAATGTCAACAAATGTCAGTGTATGCAAGTCTTTGCTCGATAACGACACATGGGTTTTAAAAAAGCAACCCATTACGCAATATTATTTGAAAAATCTATTTGCTAATGTCTGTTTTTCTGTTTCTTTTTACAGCAGTTACTGAATCTTGACTTGAGGGAGCAGAACCTGCCGCCACCATCCCTCAGTCTGGCAATGAGAACACCAGGCTGCATCGGTCAGCCACGTAGCAGCGCGTCGTTTCCCCTATCGTCTCTCTCCTGCCTCCCCGCTGATCCTTCAGAGGGTGTATTTCTGTCCTCCAGCCAATGGGGGGAGGGTCCAGAAATCCCTCTGCCCACCCAGCTCAATAATTCCAGCCAGTGGGGAAAGTCGGGCTTCCTTCACCAGCGCTCCCTGAGCATGGTCGAGACCAGCAGCACCGCGGCAGCGAGTCTCGGCTGGCCGGCGACTGACCTGACGCTCTCCCAAAGTGACATCAGCCCCGCCGCGCTGAACTCCAGCTCCTCTTCCACCTCATCCGTTTCCTCTTCACGCTACAAGACTGAACTGTGTCGATCTTTCTCGGAGAGCGGCCTGTGCAAGTACGGCGGCAAGTGTCAGTTTGCCCACGGGCTGGATGAGCTGCGGGATCAAAACAGACACCCGAAGTACAAGACTGAGCCGTGCCGTACGTTTCACACCATCGGCTTCTGCCCCTACGGGATCCGCTGCCACTTTGTCCACAACAACGAGGAGGAAATGAAACCTTCCCTCTCCCGCTCCTCCTCCTCTTCCTCATCGTTTTCCTCAAGCGTTCCCCAGCAGCCACCTCCCTCCTTCCGCTCGCACAGACCACCTCTTGTCCGGCACAGCTTCAGCTTCGCCGGGTTTCCCTCTGCCCCCCAGCCAGCCCTTCAGCCTCCCCTTCCCGCCCGCCCCCCTGCCACTGCTGCCTTCCCGCACGCTCCGTCGGCCTCGCTTCCCTCCTGCGCGGATATTACCGATCTCCTTTCTCATGCCTTCCTGGAGATGGACTCTGCCTTTGAGGCCTCCCCCGCGCACCAGTACCAGCCCCCCATGGGCCAGGCCACCGCAGCGGATCCCCGGTCTCCATTCCTGCCCTCACCGGACTCCGGCTGTTCTCCGAGTGGTCTGTCTCCGACGGCGTCCCCTTCCTTGAGGCAGAGCCCCAACGCCGTCGGGGTGTTTCCGGGGCCGCTGGGCGCACGGTCCCTGTCCTACACCTCTCTGTCTGACCAGGACCCGGATGGAAGCAGCTCTGCCAGCTCGCTCAGTGGCTCTGAATCCTGCGGAGGCATCAACGAGGCCAACGGCAGACGTCTGGCTGTGTTCAGTCAGCTCTCTGTTCCTGAGGATGCTGCTGGCTTCTGCCTTTAGGCCTCAGTGTGCTGTTAACACAAACATGCATTTCGATATATATATATATTATATATTTTCGGACACTCACCTGCAGGCCCCGACTAGTCTACGTAATATATGCTGAACGCTCATTTATTCAGATTCAAGCACGCACGATGCTCGCACACTAGAGCCATATACATGCGCATACACACACACACACTGCTGCTGCACTGACACACCAATGTTCTCCTGTGAGGCGTCAAAGGAAACCGAAAGATAAGACTTATTGACTGAATCAGAAAGCAGAGAGAGATTTGCCTGTTCGAGTTATGTAGTTTATATCTCACTTTCACATGCGTAAGGGAAGCGACAATGCAGCACCTGAAATGTCTGTTGCCACCAAAACAGAGTTTAGGTCAAGACGGAAGTTAAGAGTGTTGCAGGCAAATGATTCTTAACCAAAAATCCAAATTAAGATGGTACATTGCGACAAAGCTATTGTAGCCCCAGTGTAATTGGGCCAGTCCAACAGCACCATTTCTATTACGTTTTACCAACTTCTACGTGATAAAAAAAAGTGTGACCAAGCCAAATACATATTTGTATCTCAAACGTTTTGATTATGATCGCACAGAAACACTATGTTAATACCCAGTATTGTTGTTTTTCCTCTGAGGTTATGTTTAGATCACTGGCCTTTAACCCGAATGTTAAGTTTTTAAACAACTGAAGTGCCTGTTGCATTATTTACCAGGTCGTGTGTTGAAACAATATTTGTAGTTCGTTCAGAGAGATGTGTGGATTGGACGCAGGTCTCTTAATTTATTCGAATAAGCTAGAGTTCAAGTTTCCTTGTTGTTAAGATGACTACAAGTGTTCTTTTGTGTCTTGTGCATTATTGATAAACTGCCAACCGTAAAATGTCAAGTGGCCTTAACGTAACATGCCATACGGGGGGACGGAGGGAGGGGGGGTTCAGTTTGAGCTTAACGAGAAAGCCAAGTGGCCGTACTTTGTCAAATCCCGTGTCCATCCCATGTCCGTGACATGTCCATGACCTGTCCGTGACGGCATGAGTTGCCAACTGGAAAAGCCGGGCATGGCTGTTTGTTTGCCTCTGAAATGTGAAATGTGGTCGCACAAGTGACGGCATTACAGGATATCAATCAGTATGGTGAGTCAAAGATGGACACACACAGAGAATGAGATGCCGTCACATTATTTAGCATCTTATTTTGGATAAACTGAAAATGGTATTTGGCATAGAAGGAAATTTTAATCAAGTCATGTAAATCGTTCACGTCCGGTTTTACCTCTGGCATTTTTCCTAAATACTTTGTGGTGCTAATATGTATTTTAGATTATCTTAAACACAACATTCCCATGACCCTCCCCCTCCCTCTTTTGTCCAAAGACCGCATTGGTGTTACATTTTTGATAAATATTCCTTTTTTTTTGTGACTCTGCACACCATGTTTCTACTCTGCGTCAATATTAATTTCCCTGTTCTGGCTTTGTACTGTTAAGAATGTGTAGCGTTCCTGGTCACATGGATGTGAACTTTGTGCCCGGGTCTGTTGCCTCACTGAGCTCGATCCAGCATTCTGTAGGGTTATGGTATGTGTGCTTAGTGTTCTAGATATGTTACTTGTGTGTTAATGCATAGTTGGTTAGAAGAACAGACGCTGTGCTGTTTATGGTCTATTTAAAATTGCCTTTCATCAACAAGTTTAAGGCCTGTTTAGTGTTAAAGGTGATCTTTAGTAAATTAATTTCTTTAATTTATTTTAACATATTTATAGAGGACTTTGAGTTGGTGATGCTTGTATCAAGTTTAATATATTTGGTTTCTCTTTTTTCTTTTTGCTATTTTGTACTGGAAATAAAGTTTGGGGATTTTTTTTTAAGTTTGTTTTCCTTAATCTACTTAATGGGGTTACACTTACACAAGTAGACGTGTGTGCTACATCCGTTGTAATATGTGCAGAAATGTTATTACGTTTGTAAAGGAGGAAGGAAGCAAGCAGGAAACCAGTCAACCGTCGGTTATGATTTTCATTGTAGTTCCCCAGTGTCACTTTAGTGTACACACAATGTCAATGTTTATATCCGTTTAGATCCATTAATCAATGGTGTCTTGCTCGGGGTTTTCAGACGTTCCACCTATTTAAAAAATATATCTCTCCACATACGGCATGATTTTCACAGAGAAGGAATCATAGATAAGGTTACTTATAATTATTTGCGAAAGCGTGCCGTTTATAATCAAAGAACTTTTCTTCCACAAGTTGCGCAATGAAAGAGTGAAATGTTTCCAGATCAAATTCCATTAGCAGGAAAATCATTAGTTGCTGTGTGACGCAGCCGCCGCTCCCAAGCAAACTAGTGGTTTGGACAATACCGGCCTGTTCCTGTGATTGCACTAAATAAAGAGGTGGAACTGCAATAATCCATTGATGCAAAGTTACCGATACTGGTCAACCAGTCGGCTGTAGATAGCGAGGCGTGTGTGTGTGTGTGTGGTCATGCCATCGAGATTTCATGTGGAGATAAGAAGTCTTTTGTTTAGGGTTTAATCTGTTCAACCCCGGCCTCCCACCCGTGTCCCTTCTCCCTCACTGCCTCCTCTGAATCCATCATTCGTCCCTCATCTCCTCTCTATCAATTCCGTCCCCTCATACTTTAATCTTCTGTTGCTATGGTGGGCAACAGGCCTCATCCACATAACTCGATTGGTCCTCAGAAATATATGAAACTGATCGCTTTATAGAAACAACGTGTGGTCTCAATGACCTTAATTTCTCTCTGTGAACCATGTTCCATGGACGTCAAACTAATAAGGTATTTCATCATCACTTGATGATTAATCAGGTTGGTACACTTCTTTTATTCTTCCAACTTTTCAAAATGTCCCTCAAAACCCCCCAAACAGGACGGTAGATGCACTCGCATGGTCGAACCTCTGGGACTCCGTGTCATGCACACAAGAGCCGTCACTGTTCACATGAGATGTGCCGGCTCTCTTGGAGTGATTAGAGGCTGAAGGGGTTATAGGCATGTGTGTGCTTGTATTGTGTGTGTGTGTGATCGACTTCTCCCACACTCTTGCCCAGTGGGACACAGGCAGGCAGATGGTTGCATTCAGGTCCACCACAGGTCAACATATGGCCCCGAGAGACAAAGTTTGTTTGTGTGTGTGAGACAGAGAATCTCCCTCTTCGACTGGTCTGCATGGGTGAAGGAAGTCGAATGGGAGGGGGTAATAGTGGAGTACTACAGAAAACTGCGGGACAAGTTGCGAGACAAAGAAGTGATGGGACAATTTGAGAGGAGGAAGACGGGTGGCATCTTATGTATTTTTATTCTGCAGATAAAATATACACACACGGATAAAATCCAAAGGAAAGATGTGGAAAGGCTGGTCAGTATTGGTCATGTGGACGCGCTTTGGCATTAAAAAAACAAAGCTCCCACTTCTTACTGATCAGCTGACTACTGATGTTAGTCGTGATAAATTCTAATATTCTAACGATGACAACACGAGCGCTTGTTCATCTAGACAACTGCTAGTTAATACACATGATTACATGAATGAATAACTATCAATGCCGTTGTTGCGTTAAGAAACTCTCATGTAGCCGACCAACACTTGTACAGTCTGCTCCATTCAGACACAAGGAGGCTGTGCAGCTGCATTTATCGATCAATTAACTACTGAATTTACATTATTTTTGGCCCCAAACGAATTTTGTCACAACAAGAATCGACAGGGTTCAACAATGACTTTAAACGACATTTGGTCCTAAAAGATCAATAGTCTCCGACAACTTCTCACGCTACAGAAGCCTTCAGTTACTCAATTCTAGCTTTTAATGGCCAACCCCCCCAACACCTCCTCTCTTTCTTCTAGCTCCTGAACCCTCCTCCTCCACCCTGCTCTTTGTGAGGGTATTGTTGATATTGTGATGCAGAGAAGAGCCGGAGGAAGTGGAGCGAAGCCGCACAGAACCGCCGCCGCTGACCTCTCGCCCTCGCCCCTCAGTTCCACCCAGCCGGCCTCCGCTTCCCCCTCGATTTATAATTCTTACATTTATCTAGGAAACTTTTCTCACTTCCTTCATCCTTCCCTTGCCCTACACCGCTTCCTCTCTGCCCCCCTCCCCCTCCTCCCCTCCCACCTCCTAATAAACTTCTCTTTTCTACCCTTCAATTGCCTCCAGCCTCCTGCAGAGGCTCTTCATTCTCCACATCTCATTTCCCCTCTTGTCCATTCTCAATCCCACCCTCTTCTCCTTCAGGACTTTCTACAGTACTGCCCCCTACCAGACTTTCTCCCCCCCCCCTCCCCCGTCTCAGTCACTCCAGAGACGATTTGTGAAGTGTTTAGTGGCTTCCAACAAATGGTTAAAAGAGGGCCACACCAACACACATGTGCACAGATGAAGAAAGATTCTTCTTTCACAGTGGGAAAATAAAAGTAGCCCGGCTAAAGCGGCAGTCTACTTATACTGGGGGGGGGGTCATATTTAAAGTTTTTTTGTTCTCTGAATCTCTTTCAAGAACTCTTGTCTTGAGGGCCATAAGCAAGTAGGGGCACAACCCACCCAACGTTTTAGACAAAGGAGTTAAGGACATAGTAAAGGAAACGTGGTATTGCTTTGTCCATGAAGTCAGGAGGACTTGCAAGAAGACTTCTAAAAGAGTGACCCGAACTGATGCAGCATAAACCGAGGCATCGTGACTTTTAATCCCTTGCATCTGGATTCTAGACAACCCATAATGCAACAAACGGCGACGCTCGTATTGGACCCTTTCAAACTCAATACCATCTGTTTGTAATGCAGACTTTTTGCACAAACAGTGTTATTCAAACCCCCACGTCTATTCCACCGCGATGACATCAACGGCGTTCTTTTCTTAGACTATTAAATGCTCCCCCGAGAGCCACTGCAGCCATTTCACAACTGTTTTCACATGCCGGATGGAAATCGGCGGAGTGCCTCTAGAAGATGCAGCCCGACTCATCTGTGCGACATGGTGGGATCAGTGAACCAATAGAGTGGAGTGGCTGTTGTTTCAGTGTCGTGGCACCAGATGTGGGGAATTTGTGTGTTGCTGGAGGGAAGAATATTAAATCCAAATGATTTCATGCCACAAATAATATTTCAGTCAAACCTCAGCTATGCAATAAATTCATTGACAATAGATGTGCATGAGAAGGACACGTCACTTTTATTCTGCTCCAATGTAATTTATTATAAGTGCATATCATATCATATAGTCAGAAGACGTACTGAAGTTTCTTTTTCTATATTGAAGTCCTCCCTCTGTGTGGTATCTAATATAGACGATACGTTGTTCCAGAGGTACGAGCAGCTTCCACACTGTAGCTTTTCAGGGCCGAGGCTGAGCGCCAGTCACATTGGAGGCGTATTAAAAGGATAAAGTTACATGTAAAGACCCTTTGTCGTGTAAAAGTATCACACCGGTGGCATTAGAAATCTGAAACGCAGCAATTAAAGCAGAGCGGAAAATTAAAGCAGCCGCAGAGTCCACATAACAAACAAGAGCAATAACGTCCACGTTGTGCTATTCGAAAATACAAGAATTGATCAAATGTGTAAAATATTCTGGGCTTGACGGAATCCGGGAAAACTTAAAAATCAACGTGTCTTTTAAATTTGTGTGGAATGGACTACAACGATTTTGAATAACTAGTCGTACCAAACATTGTGCAAATAAATACACAAGGATGGGATTTCCTGGCCCTTTTCAACCAACCGTGTCAACTTCAGGTTCTTCAGAAAGAACAACTACAGAGCTGAAGGAGCATGTTGCCATTGGCTCGTAGGTAAAACAAGGTGCATAAAAAAGGAGCTCCATGTGTCCCCCTAGTGGCACAAATAAGCAACAACATCCACCAGTGTGATGATTGTTTGTGTGCAACAGGCCTCGTTTTGGGGGGATTTGTGTCACATTATTGTTTGATTAGGACAATATTTTGAGTTAGAAAATTGTATAATTAAAACAGCAGCAAGATTAGTATTAATATGATATTTTTATACAAAGCAAAGAAACGTTGAAAAATGTAACCCATAAGTCCATGGTGCAGTTTACTGTAGGCTCGGACAATCACAATACTTCATACAATACAACTCAATGCGGTAAAAAACGGTTCCATTTTGGTACAAAAAGAATAATCTGTATTTGAGACATTCCTAGAAACTTACAATAATAATAATAATAATAATAATAATAGAACATAATTAAACAAAGTTTTTTGCAGATTTTCTAACTTAAATACCACCATCATACATGAAACAGCCGTGTCCTTTAGGCAATCTGCTACGAGGCAGAACAAAGCACCAGGAACTAGGTACAGATTCTGTGTGTCTGCAGAGAAACAAGTGTTTGACAAGAATTATGATGTGCCAGGTAATATAATTGTCAAAGGGTCACCAGCTATTGGATTTATGCCAAAATATCTGGTACGGGAGTTGGTGTCTTGTCTTAAATTGTTTTTCCAATTATTCCTTGGCAGTTATTTCTTAAGACGGTCCTCGCAATGTGGGCAGTCACATTACGACGCGTTACATAGAATATTAACTTACTTTGTGATCTACTACATACACATTATTGTATCGATTTCACTGACGGATAATATTTTCAATGTCAGTCGGGGCCAGGCTCCACTTCTTTAATGAAAACCATCATGCAACGATTCAATCAAATAGGAAATCAAAATCAAAATGAGAAGGGAATAAAACAAATCTTGTCCTGTGTCAGAGTACGACAATTAAAAAGTTAGCTTTGGCTAAGCCTTTTTGCTCTGTCACAGGTAGCGTGTCAGCAGAACCTGTTTGACCCAGATGAGGAAATTAGGTTGGTGTTTGATTCCCTCTGTGATTGGACAGGAACTACTTTCCTCCTTTGTAGGATTAACACAACCCCACATGGCTCTGGTCTTCTGCTCCCCTGGGTACCAGCATAGAAGATCACATCACAACTTCTGGACCACCACTTGGAATTTACCTGCCAGGACAAAATGAAAGAGGGGTGAGCCACGTGTGTGGACTTATTGTAAACACTGGACTGGTTACAGCCAGTCTGAGGAGAAGGAGAAGGAGAAGGAGGAGAAGAAGAAGAAAAAGAAGAACAACAACATTCTGGTGGTACTTACAGGATGGCATTACAGAGACCTCAGCTGTCACCACGCTGTCCAGACCGAGGTTAGACAGAGCTCCTCTCACAATGCCACACGAAAAAGCAAGGTACTGTGGAAAAACCCACACAAATTAGAGGCGTTAGCTTTAAATGAGATAGATTCTGATTTCTTCGGCTTAAATGGCAACAAGAGAGAGAGAGAGAGAGAGAGAGGCAGAGAATACGAACCTTAGGAGCCTGATCCAGGTACTGTTTTCCATTAGAGAGCTGAGTCAGCAAAGAAAATGTGTTGTCCTGCAGGACATAAGTACCCTATGGCCGGAATGAAATGCATGTTTAGTAACAAACATTGAACATATATGCATTGAATGCATGAATATCAATTCAGCAGCAAGGACTCCTCCCATAATCCATAGGGATTGAAGTTCAATATCACCTTCATTGAGTTTGATGGAATCATTCTTTTGATATAGTGACATGGAGGTTATCCATCACAAACAAACTCGCATTTTCACAAGAGAGGTTGAAATTGTTGTTGGGGGGGGGGGGAGACAACCGGGGAAGTTGAGTTTACCTGATGGTTTGTCCTGAGGTTGTCAACCTGCCTCCTGAACACCTTCGTCCAGAAGTCTTTACAGACAAACTTCATCACGTCCAACTCATCTTTGAAGCTGGGAGAGTCCCTGGTCAACCTTAGCAGAGCAAAGACCAACACAGACACGAGACGACGGTCAAGAGGATGCACGTCTCAAAGCAGCCGCCGTTACACACACATGTGGATGTGGGGTTCTCTACCTCTCGATGAGTCCTTGTCCCACCCTGAAGCCCATGCTTTCTAGGACAGACACACAGACAGCTCTGTCCTGAAGGGAAGAAACCAAAGCTGTCAATTTGCTCAGTGGACCAAATAGATCCAAGGTGTATTAGTGAGGCCTGTGAAAGCTGAACTGTTCTAATGCAGTGGTGAGCTGTGTTTTGAGTCCTGGGAGAAGGAAACACGTCGTAAACGTTCAAATCAGGGCGTTTTCTAGCTGCAAATATGCGCGAATAAAAGTAATTAGTTAACTGATCTCAAAGCTGCGGTTCTTCCGTGTCACTTGACTGATGAATGCCTCTGCTGAACAGACCTTGTTGTCCATCTCTTCTTTTCCGGATTGCTGCTCCTTGTAAATATGAGACACGATCTCCATATGGAGAAAGTCAAACAGAGACTCGTCTGCCATTCCTGCCAAACAAACAGTCGTGATTACGCAGCTCAATGTAACGCTTTAGGAAAACAGTTTCCCTTCGCGTGGTGACAGGTGAAAACCTTCAATGACGTTGACGTTAGCTTCATTGTTAGCGCCAGGAAGCTAGCTTGTGTTGTTTGCTGTCACTGTCCAGAGATAGTGGTTCATATCTCGATATGACAGAGAATTGGGACAAAGCAATGCGTCTAGTATTCTACGTTTCATAGTATGCAGTCATGAACAGTTAAATATACCGTACCTGTCAACAGTCTGTAGGCTACACAAAATAAACAGAAGTCAGCTTCCTGGGATGCACTCGGTATTAATACCAGGGAAACTTCGTCACCCGCGGTTCACACGGGCGGAGTTAGCAGCAGCTTTCTCCCTGTCGTGGCGTGAAAATATATCCTTTAGGAGTACATGCTTTACCATATCAACAAGAATATATTATACATCAAATGATAAATATATAGAAGCTCTCGTGTGGAGGGTGCCGATAAATCTGCTACAATGGAACCGGATTAAAACCGTTTAACAACCTAATGTTGCATATCGGTGTACGCGGATTAGATTACAAGCGAACTCTGGATAATACTACGCATGCGTATTAATCACTGTCTGAAACGTCATATATCAGGTGACATCCTAGCTCACACCGGATTGGTTCTTGGTAAACAAGCCACTTCCTAGATGCTCATGTGATTTGTACCTTTTTATCAACAGAGAAGGTTTGACAATCTTTAGAATTTTGGACTTGGACTCTGGACTTGGACTAAAGTTTAGCTTACATTATACTACGAATTCCCTTTGACTTAACTATCAATAAGAAAGGATAACTTATCGTTATCATTAGCATTAAAGTCAGCTACATTTGAAATCTATAGTTTGTTTCATCGTACCGTTAGCCGGAGACGTTTTGTGTTGTGTTGGTGCGCGTCGTCATGTCCAGCGGGTACCAGATAGTGGTGCAGGGCGAGGCTTCGGAGACGGACTCCGATGATGAAGTCTACATCACCTCCATGTCTCCTCCGCAAATCGCCCCAGTCGGAGCGAAGGTTCTCTTGCATGTCCGCAAGTTTACAGAGATGACACATGACGCATGTTTCCTCCCCTGTCGTCATTAATCGGTTCAATCTGCTCTGATGTGTTGGGTGATGGCAGGTTCCCGGGGAGGCGTCTGAAACTGACAGCGAGGAGGAGGAGGCGGAGGGGGGACAACAGGCCGACCGAGCCTCCTCGCTTAGACAGGACAGCGCCCACGTGCTGAGGAGAGACCTTCCCCCTCTTATAGTAGTCAGGGACCATCCTGATATACAGTCGGTAGTGGAGGACAGGCCAAGTCCCACACACAGACCACAAGGTGAGGAACGCAACGTCGGGATTAGAGTCCTTCATTTTGATACTTAAAGAGTGACACGATGTCCACTCAGGGGTCAACTTTCTGTTTTCTCATGGCCTTCGTCACCTGGCTGTACGTATTAATGTTGGCTATATGCGACACGCTTGGTTCACTTATTAAAACTGGTGCAGTTTAGATGATGTGGAATCGACCTTTATGACAAAGGTCAGAAATGAGCCTCCAGGTTCAAACTACTCATTATCCTAAAATATAGAAGAATAAATGCAATGATGAATGATCATGTTTTTATATTTTGTATTACAAGGCTTCGCATTTAATTGAAATCAATATCTAGTAGTAAATGGTATTAATATTATGGATAAGTGAGTAACAAAACAGGTTTTAATGTCTTGTTTTTCCAGGTGACACACTATTACAACAGAAGCTGCAGGAATCTAACAGTCGGCTGCATTCTGACGTTGGGCAAATGGTACGGCAGGTTTATGGAACAGCCTGTAAAGAGGTATGTAGACGTGTTGGATGCTACTTGCGCTACAACAGAGTTTGTAAGATGCTCAACTTGTAACAGCCAATTGGTGTGGTTGGAAATTACTTTCTTTCCTTTTTTTCTGATTGTTTTTCTGAAAGGTTCAAAGTGCAACAGCTCAGCTAAATACATCGCAGAGCGCCATAATCAATGCGTCCCACAGCATCCGATTAATCCTGGATGACCTGAAGGCAGTGTCCGAAAAGATTGACATCATCACCAGCTGTCAAATACTACCTGATATCAACATCAAAAGTTCAAATAATCATACAACGCCTGCACTGTAGAATATGTGTGAAATCCACAGCCACACTTAGGATGTATTTGTCTGTCAGGATTCTCTGGGGATATTTACTGTAAAGAGATGATCCTCTGTCTTTCTATCTTCTACAGCTGTCCTTCTGGCTAACACTTCACAAAGAAATACTCACTGTCCTTTTTTTGTAAATCTCAATATTTGTTGGAGGTCAAAGAAGCAGACTTGCATTCAGCCTATAATGTTTTTCTGTGTAAATATTCGATAAATATAATACGTACTAATATAAAGATTTTCTGTTGGAAACCTGAATGCGTTTAAATCTTTAAAATGCTTTCACTGGCGTCAAAAAACACACAAACTGTCCACAAGCAAGAGCCAATTGCTGCTCCGGATGGTTCAGCTAAGGTGGCATTAGATGTAAGACAAAGTGGGGAGACTTGAAAACTTCTGAAGAATGGAATAACTTTCAATTCAAGAACATTATTTATTTTCTAAAATAATACCATGAGACAAGCCGAAAAGAACACATACATGGTATTCATATTGAAGACACATCTCATAAAACTAAGTCAATCTACAGGAAATATCAAATATAATCGGCCCATAGTTTCCACTCACGGAAATAAAGATTCCCTTTTAGTGTCACAACATATTTCAGCCACCTGATGGCGCCATGGATACAGACGTGGACCACTGTAGTAAAACATGCAACTTTCTTGTTCCGACTCTTCAATCCTGAACTTGCTATTCATAATTTTTTTTAGCTTTGCATTCTGTGTAATTAAATAGTGGAAAAAGTACGCAGATCTTTCACTTACGTAAAGTAGTGAAAGCAAAGCAGGAATACTTTAAATGTGTGATAATCCTAATTATACTGTAATTATTGAAGAACCAACACGTTGTTGTGTTTTGCGTTGCAGTTAATGACACGGAGTGTAACACAGGACCAAAAAGCTGCTGGTCATACATGCTGGGATCGCAGCTGCCTCTTTATGGTCATATTTTTAATTTGTTCGTTTAAGTTGAGGTTACGGTTATGGTCAATGTTTACAGAAATGGTTCGATGTCGGCTGGTGGCAGTTAGGCTGGTAAGTCTCCAGGAAATTAATATAATGTCCCCATAATGAAACCATGAGTGGAGTGTGTGTTCAGTGTGTAACTAAGGGAGTGACGAAGCTTTAGTGTAGTCGTATTGTGTGTCTGTGTCTGTTCATTATTATTATGATCTCTGTGTCTTAAAGTGTGATGGATAACATTTCCCTCTTCGGGTAATTAATGGAAAAATGTCCCTGTAGAAATATTTGTACTTGTCACGCCAACACATTCATTCCTTTAGGAAATAGTTAAGCTGGAAGCTATCAAGCTAAACAGATTTGGTTTTGTTAAAAACTGTTAGAAAATAATGTCTAACTGCTGCAAACCTGAATGGAAAGAAAGAGGGTCAACGCATAAGTCTCCCTCTTGATCAACATTTGTAAGTACACATTTGCTGGATTCATATCTTCAACATGTGCTTAAATGATCGTTCAAAATGAAAATGAAAAGGTGCGCCCACACACACTGTAGCTTGTGCCTTAAACAAAGACCAGGGTGCCTACGAACGAGGTTAGAAACAACACAAATGTGACTGTGTGCTTATTTTCCTCCACTCAACAAGGCAAGCGGGACATTATATTACTGTTTACGTTGAAACATCTTTTCCGGTCCCAGTGACAGTGGCCTGCAGGCTCAGAGCCACTGATGGGATTCATGCTCGAGCGGGCAAACTGACTTCAGACTGAAATAGGAACACGGCAAACAATGGACCAGGCCGAGGAGAGCTCGTGAGTGTTTGCGGTGCAGAGGGGTAAGGGACGAACGGGAAGAGCGGAAAGATACACTAGATTATTAAATCATACTAGATTATGCATGCGGGGCCGTAGTCAGATACGTGCTGGCGGGCCGTGGTGTGCATGGGTCCTCTGTGACTGCGTCTTGAGTGCACGTGGTGTGTGCACAGGAGGGCAGCCACCCACGTTAGCCAGGTCAGTGGCTGTCTCATGGGGGGCCTGAGGACACGCTGTTAGTTCATCTGGCCGGCCGAGCGTGGCCGCACACAGCGGCACAGGTCTACCAAAGCAGATATGCTGCTTTAGAAGAGCCGTGCCTGCGTGAGTGATGCACTTTGTTTACATACCGATAGAGCATTCAGGACGACGTGAAGTTAGGATGCATCCCTCTGACTGGCCCGGAGGAGGAAAACAAAGACCAAAACCCATTGGAGGAGTTGAAGGGAACAAAAGCACCACACATTCAAGTTGAATCAGGGAGATAAACAGTTAAAAAGTGAACACGCAACTGGACTTCACGAGAGGACTGAACTTGGAGGAGCTCAGCTTTATTATCTTCTCAGCTGAGAGGACTTGCTTTCAGGCTACACAATTTCATTTAACACAAGAGCAATCGAGCATGAGGATAATATTCCAAGTGATACAAGTATGAGAATGGAAACAGGAAATGTGATCATAAACCTTCCCAAGCTCAGAGTTAGTGTAGAAAGTGAGCTGCCAACTAAAATAATGATGCAAACCCCTCATTTGTCAATCATTTCAAATTCAGTGCAATTTGACATGTAAAGGTGATTTTAAAACTATAGTCAAATGGCATTTAGGATTTAGTTGGGATTGTAATAGTAAACAGCTCACTACAACACATGGGGAGTAGGAGAAAGGAGCAGGTCAAACAGGCACGATGGGTGTAAATGGCGTCCACATTTGACTTCTATCCTACAACCCCAGAGGATTTGAAAAATGTTGCATTCTTTCCTTACGATTTAGCTCTTTTTTTATTGACAGAAATCCCAAATGTTATCAAACAAAGCATCAAACCATTTAGCTATGGACTATAATTGCAAAAGTTAAGATGCTTGCCAAACCTGACTATAGGATCTAGATAGCCTTTAATACCAAATACCATCAGTGAAACTCTTTAAAAGTGGTGTTTTTCCTCTTTATTTGCATTACTATAGCTATCGATTTTAAACAATACACGGAAGTACACCATATCTCAAAGCATTTGATGTTTGTAACAAACTGAGTGTGGTGGTTGTGGGGTCATTCCACGCACCTTCCATTTCACAATCTACAGTTTGCTTTGCTTGAACACTCTCTTTGAATGTTTCTCAGTAAATCAGCACGTCACACAAAGCTTTGGTTAAAGGGAATTTCTCACTCGTTCTTACACCTGGCAGTTGCTTAGATCACTAGTCTTACTATTCATCAATGAATTGTATTCAAAAGTAAAGACTAATGTGAAACAAGCGAGCGTTTTAATGCATGCACGGACCTTTACTTAACATCTTGCTACAGCTGAAGCAGAAAGTGCTGTGACACCTGGAATCGGTTTTGCCCACAAATTCGTACAAAACTGAAAGAAAATGGAAAACCATTGAACCATCTCGTGCAAATCTTTTTTTTAGAAACTGAGATAGCTCAATATTCGTATTCTTTGTTGCTCTGAAATCGCATTAAACTATCTTGGGGATCCGCGTGTCTGCATTATTTTCTCCTGTCTATAGTCACAGACAGTCAGTGTCCAATATGCCGTCTCAAGGCTAAACATCAATTCAGCTCACGCGTCATGAAAATACATGAGAATCCATCCTCGCTTTGGCTCTACATAACACAGTCTGTGTGTGGCTCATCTTCACAGAATGAGCATTTAGGGAATCCAGACACCAAGAGGAGCATGTGCTTAAATATTGCTCTGTTGTTCTCAGTGTTCTGCGTTAACAACCTGAGCCCGGGGCAGCAGTTAGGCGTCCCAGATGCACTTTGGTGCACCTGTTTTCCCCTCGGCGTTGAAGACTATTTCCACGGCATACTGTGTGTGTGCACATGTTATTTACCTAGAACAATGATAAAATAAAATACTATTAACAGGCATTAAACAAATAACAAACACTGTATAGTAAACGGTTCTGCTTTTCAGAGTGAGACATTTGTGTGCACTCGAGGAGTTGGATGAGAGTCTATTGGGACAGAAGGTGCTCAGAACCCGCCCTCTAAGGGCCTCCTTATATTTGTCATATTAAAACTGGTTTCAGCAGAACACAGTGTGTCCCATATCGAGAGCCACTGCAGACAAATATCAGACTTTTATCAGTCAATGATCAAGGTGATGTCACAACCGGAGCTACAGAAAACAACAAGAAAGACTATAAATCTGCAGAGATTTATTCTTAATTCCTTTGCCAATGTTATAGAGACTGAATATAACCTATAACAATTGATTGGATAAGAGCTGTGAATAATAAATAGCACAAAATAATAGCACAAGAGTACAAAATTAATGTGTTGCGGTGGTTTCGATAAAATATCATAAGGGCTTAGAAAACACAATGTGAAAAAATTGGTCCCACTCGAGGCACCATTATAGAAATCCATTGTGACAACTATTAAACAAATATTTTAGTACTGTTCTTTTACCCTATTAATAGTAATATAACTATTAATCTTAGTATACCCTAAATAAATGCTTTATGCTTTTAATTAATTAATACAAAATGTTTATATTCTAATAAGCTGTATTGCTTTAGTACATTATATTATATTATGTATTATCCATTAATAAAGAAATTACAGCTCATACATCATTTATAAAAAGGCCCAAGACAAGACAGAGTTGTTCATATCGATGACCTCACACTGATACATAGAAAGCATTAGTGGGTCATTTATTAATCATTAACCAAGTCATTAGTCACAGCCTGTGAATCCGTTATAAGGAGACTTTTATAGAAGAAACCTTTGCTAGTATCTGAGTGAACCTGAGTCAAACAGTTGACTGTGCTTATTCATTTTATTAGTTTGCCAACATCAACCGGCTCTTTAGGTGAACGGAAAATACCTCCAGCGCGTCTATTCGAATGTGTTTCTGCACAGCTGTGGCTTCAACTCTCGCAGTCTGACAGTAGATGTCTAGCAAACTAAATGGGCTTTGGTGCGTTCTTAAAATGGATGTTTGCTCCAAGAGTTCCACTCCACAGTCATTAGATGTGACAGGAAGTAAATGTTTCAAGTCACATCAATCTCAACGTGCTAACCGCCGAATCTCCTGATGTGTGGAAAATTAGTCGTGGAGCGAGATGCAATGTGTGTGTATGGGGGCTTCTCTAGTACAGAAAATAAAAAAATGTTTTAAGGATGTTCAGGAGCCCACGGCTAAACATGCACCCTGCCTCATTTATGTTCAGACAATAAATAGTAAACTAATTTTGACCATGGGAAAAGATAATGGTTTGGCTGACAGCCTGTAGAGGAGAATTGGCA